TCAAGAACTTGGAGGCCCCTTACCAGGTCGTCGCCTGTGGAATATGGGGTCCTCTTCCCCTAGCCCATATTTTTTAAACAATGAAAGACATTTTTGCATCCATATACACATTGTTTATTGTAGATGGGATAGACCAAGTACTTGCTATACTTTCTTTGATAAGATCCTCACCGACTTGTAGGAACAGAATTGGGACAACACCAAATGCTTTTAAAATCTTTTCCCATCCTCTCATCTCATACACAAATAAGCAAGACCAGACAGGTTTTCAGTTAATTGCATGTTCTTCTTCATAGGGATTATTGTTAAGTATTAATGAATTAACTGAAGAATAATTTTACTTCTACTGATTTTTGACCATTTTCAGAGTTTACCTACAAAATGTTTAAAATTACAGGTGAACTTATGGTTCCAGTTTTGTTTCTGAGCAAAACTATAGTTAGCCCTAACAGTTCTTAGTGCATTACATCACTTATGAGAAAAACTCCTGATGGACTGGTTTGCATTTTTCACACCCTAGCTTTATAAATAAGGCAACCCTAAAATGTACCACAGAACAAAGATAAGCAAAACAGTTAAGGAAATCATAATATGTAGGAATGATATGCTGGTATCAAAATATCCCCTATCCTCCCTACCTGCAGGAAGCACCGCAGTTCCCCAGGGTTAAGTATGATTTCTCAGTCAATCTCATTATGCAGCCCACACAGCAGAATTTATTTGACATGGAGGGAGACAGATATATATAAATATAGTACATGAAGTACAGTATTAATTTTAGTACAGACTAATATTAAATGATGTTACCGGCTGTCAGTGTTCAATCTGCCAAGCCTGCTATGCTGCTACATTTCTTGGCAAAAAATTAATTTTCATTTTTTTTCCTCCTACAAATGGGTCATTTAAAATTAAATGCTGCATAATTCCATTCCTATCCCATTCCCAATACTTTGGTAAGCCTCACTCAAAATCAATTCCCAAAAGTGCTTATGCAGCATTTCAAAGACTTCAGAGCAATGTAGTGCTCAATTCTCCCATTGCCTCGTGTTCGTCTTTGCAGGAACCTAATGCACTAATTGCAATGCTGTTTAGGCTGGCATGTGAAAAAAGAAGGTTTTATTTTCTTCCTGGGATTTATACCTTCCCTTAAGAAGGTATAAATAACTTAAGCCTGTTTGTGACACCACTTCCAAGAATTCAGATTCTCATTTATGCAACCCTTCCCCCCCCCAAAAAAACAAAACAAAAAGCAAAACAAAAAAACCCGAGTCCAAAAGCTAATTTTCTATTTATTTTTGAGCTACTTAATGTACATCCTGCTGGGACAACCATCTTCTCAGTGTGAATTGACAAAAAGCAGCAGGTAGCTGCATGGCTAGTTTGTGGGAATCAGCAAAGAGAAAAATAAAAATTGTATTCCTGTATAAATATGTGGCCAAATGGTCAACAAGTTGATGTGTGTTTGCAGAAGCAGCTGTTAACGGTACACGAAGGCCAGGTCCAAACTAGAAATTTTTGCTAGGACAGTAAAACTGGTTATAAAAAAAATCTATTTTTTACAATATTTTGTATTGTATTTTACAATACTGTCCTAGCACAGACAACATTATACCAGCAGCATTAAAGCATGTTTTTGGTAGAGTTTATTTCTCTCAGATCCAGTGGAAGTAATTACAAAACAAAGCACTCTTGGTGATATGACCTATGTTTATACTTGGAAGATTTCTCAGCACAGTTGCAGTGGCAAGCTTTTTCTAATGTAGACTGGTGTTTAGAACTGCAACTGCCTAGTACAGACACAGCACTTGTCTGACAGATTCATTATTTGCACATACCAGTAGCCACTTTGAACGTAAAGGCAGGGTTGGTCAGACATAAAGCCTTGAGAAATCTTGAACATTTCCATGATTCTAATATGAAAACCTTAAAACAATTATCTGCCAATGTTTTGGCAATACCTGAACAAGGAAACAAGCTAGTGGATGGAACTGTAGGAACAGGTTTCAGCTCCAGAACTCTGGGTCTTAAACTTTGTCTCTACAGTTGACCTTCAAAAGAATTCATATGTGAGGTTCCAACCACATGTCATATTTATCTTTAAAGAAAAAAAGACAAAGTAAATCTAGAAATTAACATAATTAACAACACCCTCACCCCCCTCAAAAAAGAAAAATCTTTCCTCTAGAGTATATTTTCATGGCTGCTTCATTGCCTATTTTGTTTCACAACTTTACTGTAGACAGCTTGAAATTTAGTTCCCATATACTAAGTAAAAGGGAGAGGGATTTCTCAGGGTAGAAGTTACCATTTTGTATGAAGTATAAAATGTTCCATAGTGCTTCCTGATACCTGCATAGCCTTTGGAGTTCCTTTTATTTTGCTTTTTTAAATAAAGGAACCCAAAAAGAAGAATGCAATGTTTTGGAACAGGGCTGTGGCAAGGAAGTTTGGCACCCAGGGCAAAGCCCACTGCAGCAGCCCGCCCTCGCCCTGCACACAGATCTGGGGGGTACATGCCCCCCCATTCTTGCCCAGGAGTGTATGCAGCAGCGGGAGCTGCCCTCCCCCCATCCCCACGCCCCCCAAATGAGCCACTCACAGCTCCATCCCATACTCTGCCCTGGCTGGGCAGTGCCTGTTGACGCCCATTTGCTTCGGCGCTTGGGATAGTCTCCCACTCACCCCCTGCTCCTTTGCTATGGCACTGTTTAAGAAGGCCACTGGGCACTGACTTTCAATAAGATTTCATCCCTCAAACCACTCACTCTACACAACATGCATCTAAGAAGTTATGTAGACTATAAAAATATCATTTTTCCTTCTTTTCTTCAGTGAATGTAGAGAGTTATTTGTTAAAAAAAAGAATAATTTTGGTACTTGTACTATGTATGCAAACTATTCAAAACTGGTATTTAAACAGTTTTGGGAGTTCTATAACCAAGGGATAGGGGTGAGCAAAACACTTCACTTCTGTAAATAACACAAGCTTTCACTACTGAACTATACATTACTTCATATTTTTGTTAGACTCCCCTGTGGGCTGTGACTAACAAAATTCACCTTCTGCCATTGCAAAATCAGACTCAGTTATACAGTTTTCCTCTCATTTACAGTTTCCTCTTGAAAATTCACTCATTTATAGCACCTGTTTTACCATCTACTCATTGTACCTTCCCTATTGTGATGCTAATTGATTGTCAATGAGCTATTATTTCAGCCCTGTTTCACAATCAATTAACTTTGAAGTTCTTCTAAAGAAAACTGCCTTGATTAGTTGCAATATTCTTTGCTTTTATTATTGTGGTAGAGCATAAGGACTCCAGTCAGAGCTTGGGAGCAGTACTGCATTAGGCAATGTACAAACATCTATTAGAGAGAGAATCCTATCCCCAAGGAGATTGCCACCTATCTTACAAACTACTACAGAGGGTAGATTAAACTAGAACTGTGGTAACATGGATGAAAGCATCAGGAAGCAAAGAGCTCAGTGAGTAACAGCCATATCTCTCCACCTGCCTAGCAGGTACAATGCTTTTACAGGATAGGCTAGATTTAAGGAGCTGAGGGAAGAAGCAATAACTGGGCTTGTTTGTGTTTTACCCATGCAGTTAGGGGTATCATAGAAGAAAGTGTGAAGGTGTTTGTAAGCAGTACCCCTCACCTGATGGGGAAGATTTGTAACACTGGTGTTACTCATTTAGAGACAGTTTTATTTATTTTTTGATAGTTTCCTAAAAGGGAATATACTCAAAACACATCCTTTCACCTGTTTAATAGGTTAATTTCAGTAAATAGTTTGGGAACCTCTCAGAGAGACCTGTCTATTTAATAATTGCTGCTACACATCAGGATTCCTGATTTGCTGATTAAGGTCTAAACTTGGGGCCATTCACTCCTCAAAGCACATCAAGAAAACTGGAAAAATTTGAGAAGCCAATTCAAATAGCTTACTTCCAAAAAAAGCAAAGGAAGTCATCTAGCCAAAAGAAGTCCTACAATACAACAGAAATCAAAATATAGGGCTGAAGTTTACCTCAGGAGTGTGATTACCATTATGTTTTTTGCAAAGTAACATTTTGATTAAGGATTTGTTTCTGTTTTGGCATCTTGGAGATTAGTCAGAAAAATAGTACAAGATGGAGGTTGGGGTCTGCACCTGAAGAAACATACTTTTAGAAACCATCTGGTCTCAGTCCTATGGACTATAGGGAAGGAGAATACTTATGGGTGTATAGGAAAGCCTGTTAGATTAATCAAGTGCTGATGCTAAGACTGCCAAAATGCAGCAGAGTGGCAGTAAATTTCAGGACTGTGTTCTACCTGATGTCCCTGGGGGAGCAAGCTGCCTTGCCCAGCCCTGCTGTGCCCCAGCATCCCCACTCACCCACTGCATTCTGGGATGGCGGAAGACTTCACTTTGTGGAACAGCTGTGGGAAGTGGCCATACCTTAATGGAACAGGAGCAAAATTAAGCAGAATAGGGATAATCCTGCCCTAGAGTGGTATAATTTTAAATTGAATAAAGACTGCTTTAAGCCATTTAAAAGGTGTCAACATGCAGCCAATCCAGCAGTTAGGAGCTCCAGAAGCCACCTAAAATTACCATGTAACAAGGCCCTAAGTCACCAGTTCCCAACTCTTCATGCTTCCATTTCCTCATCTGTGAAATGGGAAAAAATAATAAGATTGCAGGAGCCATTGTCCAGCTAAATTCATTAATGCTTGTCAAATGCTAGCCTTTGTGGGACAGATGATGTCAGAATACAAGCATGTGAATACCATGTAAAATACCTGCGTGTCATGTCCTGGCTGAAAATTACCTAGGCAGTTCTGTGCTCAGACACTGCTTGGAAAGTAGTTCAAGCATTGTGGCAAGCTTGTGGCTGCCAACTTGAAGAATCCATAGGACCCTGGCACTTAAGGCATCCCTTTGTCCTATGATGAGCAGACTGTTCAAAAGCAACCACAAAAAAACCTTTTAGAGAGTTTACATTAAATAGAGAATTTGCTAACAGGTGATGCCACCTGTGCCCATTTAATTCAGGCCAAACAGTTTCCTCCCTAGAGGACTCAGAAGGAAGAAAGGAGAGAATGGTAATGGTGGCTCAAAATCAAGGCAGAAAGTTACAATAGTGACTGTGGCTCTGCACCAAGCTCACTGTAGAGGCAATGGCTTATCAGTGCCAGGAGACTCCTGCCTCTGTACAGTCACAACAACAGTGGGTCATATCTCTCTCCCGCAAAGCTGGCTAGCAGGTACTGGATCAAACACCAGCATGGCAGACAGGCACAACTGTACACAGGCCAGCACTAATCAGTCTTCAGGAATATGCCGCATTGCTTCACTTACATTGGATTGCAAAGGTGATCCATTAAAGCAGGGGGGCAACCTTTTCAGCAGACATGCCACAAATTAGCCCCACAGCCTCCTTGAGTGCCATTCTCCCCATTAAAAGTAGACATCATCTTCAGTCCCTTCTACCATAACAAAAGTAAACTTTGCTCTTCTAGGCACCTGCTCTAGACCTCAGCACTCCCAGTAGATAAAAGCACCTAATGTGCAGCTGCCAGGCAGGCATCCAAGCTGTAGAGACAGATGTTCAGACACACTTCTATGCTCATCTTCTCCTACTGACTTACCTCTGCCTCAACACCACCCTCCAGAGCTACCGAATAGGGCTATTGAAAATTTCCTCTGGTGTTTCGTTTTGAAGCTGTTTTGAGCTCGAAACAAAGAAATTGAAATGAAACAAAAGCCTTCAAAACAGCTTCAAAACTAAATAAGGACACTCAAAACGATCTGGCAGGCAGATTGGGGGCTCGCCCGCACCCCCAGGAGGGCTGCAGGGGCTGTGCCTGACTCCTCCTGGGGTGCGGGCCCCCGATCTGCCTGCCAGATCACAGGAGGCTGGTGCTGCTGGCGAGGGCCAGCGGCAGCACCAATCTTTCTGGCACTGCATTGGCAAAACATCAAAGGAGCATCGAAACAGCAAAACAGTTTTGGCAAGATGAAACGGAACAGTGCTTACGAAACAAAGCTTGAAATGAAACACTGTTCCATCGAAACGTCAAAACAGAAGCTGGAGCAGAATGATGCTGTTTCACACAGCCCTACTATCTAACTGGCCCTTTTGACTACATAAGGGGACAAGGTATCAAATCGTATTTCTTTCCTGCATCCAGGCACCTAATTTTTAAGTATGTCAAAAAGCTGGATGTTCCCAAGAAGCCAGTTTGTATTTTGCCCCGTGTTTCCTACAAAAGCACGACTGTCCCCCACATAAACACAACGTGGGAATTACAAAGAGCAGAGTCAGGCTGTTCTGTGCAGGGCCAGGGGGCGAGGTAATAACTCGTGGTGGAGGTAAACTCATTTTTGCATTGTATTCAAACACTGCTCCTCTTAAATCAACTTGTGTCTATGTGCACCACACAGTTTTATGATGTAGTAGGAAAAGAAATGGCTCCTCAGAGAGACATTGGCAGCATAAAACAAGAGGTAACTCCAAACAGCACCCCCCCGTTATAGTATAATAAAGATCTAAGAGCATGCTCACTATACATGCTACAAATACGGTTTAGTACTTAGAGAAAGAAATTGGGAGAGAGGACTCCCAAGCTTTATTCCTTCTCCTCTGTCACTTCCTCTTCCTTTGCATGCTGTCCAGATAAGGTCTAGATTTGGGATACATCCGGCCTGATATTCAGAAACACTGATCATTTGACTTCAACTGAAGCCACTGGTGCTTTGAAAACACCTCTGAAATGAGTACCTGAAAACTGTGCTGGGCAATTTCAGCACCGTTTTGAGAAAATTTGATATAGCATATTTACATACAGCTATTGAGTAATGGGGAACACCTAATCTACTTTGCTGATCTAGTGGCTTGACTTGGATGAAATTAGGCCAGGGACTATATTAATGATAACATAAGTGGTTCTAAAGAACTCCCTCTGTAGCCTGCTCAAGTATACTCCCCATCTATCATGTGAGCTCCCCATCTTTGTTGTTTGTTGTTTAACAGTCCCTCTGTACATTTGAAAACAGCATAAGGCCCCCTTTGCTGAGTTGCAGGGCTAGGTTCAGGCCTTTCTTCTGTTTCATAATATGCAAAATGGGGATGGCACTAATTTATGAAATGAAGCAATGCTTGTCAAGGACTACACAAGTATCAAACATAGTTCCTTATTGGAGATAACAACATGATAATAAACCTATCTTTACAAGTTCTAAGTACTATGGTGATAAGGATTTAAAAAAAAAAGAAAAAGAGCACACCAGGTTAGACCTCTATAAACAGATCTGGAATCCCTTTTTTGGGATTTACATGCTAAGTGGAATTTGACTCAGGGAAACAAGTTTCACACATTGGATTTCACAGCAATAATTTCACTTCACCTCCTAAAGTGTGATACTATTTGCTCACACTGCATCTTTGCTGATATATAGTCCAGGCATAGGTCAGTTAAATTTTCTATTCCCCAGGTTCTCTTCCTAATTTGGTTTTGTTTCTCTTTTCCTGTCATTTTTTGCTTTCAACAGTTTAAAACACTGTTTAGTTTTGTTTCTGGTTTTCATCAGTTACATATAATGATAGACTTACCCTGCTAAGGAGCATATGTTAGCGCCAGGGATTTGTGAAAGGTTTATATAGCAGGCGAGCCCTTAAAAATCACGGTCAGTTCTGAATGTTTTAAAATGATTCTTTCAAATCTCCACTTTATAGATTGAGGGCAGAATGCTGTACACATTGGAAACTTGGGAAGCAGCTGGGGGAGCAGAGGTTCATCTCCAGAGCTCTAGTCTAGTGGGAAGAATGTAGACTGCCAGGCACCTGCAGAGATGCTACAGGTAAATATGAGGGTCCATGTGGCCCATTGGCAATGGTTCTTAACCTTTTGACAACTGGGATCTCTTTTACTTAGTCACAATCTATTTGGGACCCCCCATGCTTTTCATGTAGGAAGTATGAATGGTCACAACACCTTGGCTCCCATTTGCTGCTTTCCTGGGTGATAAGACCCCAGGGCCCAGAAGAATGCAGGATGCAGTACACTGTTTCCTAGTCTTCAGTTTTGTACTTCCATGAAAACCAAATAGAGACTGGCCTGGTTTGAACAGTTCCAAGCAGAACCAGTAGGATTTGCCTCTGGTGGCTCTAATACAAGCAGGTATGTTTCAGTAGGACAGCACTTTTCCCTTCCAGGATGCTTTCCTTCAGAGGATCTCAAGGCACTTCACAAATTAATGTGAATGAAGTCTCATTGCACCTTTGTGTGAGATAAGAATGCTAAAGCTGTCAGACACCCGCACCCACACCCACACAAAAATTATTGCTATGATGCCAATCATTGATGCTCTAAAGTTTGTTGCATATCCAAGCATCAGCTTGTGTAACTGATAATGAAAAAAGCAATGCCAAGAAGACATACCTTCAGCTGTTGAATGATGGCTGGCAATGACACCCTGTGAAATATAGTACTGAAATCCCCAAAAGCACATACAGTAGTACTTGGAGAACCGTATTATGGCATACATGTATTTAATTATGTTAATGTGCTTTAAAGTTTAATACAATTTCATTAAAGTTAAAGTGCTATGGGCCCAGCTTAATTAAATATTCCCTTCCTACTTTCCAAACTGCCTTTCACAGAGCTATGCTGCCTCACAGGATATGAAAACCAAACATCTACTTAAAAAAAAAACAGGGCCCTAAATGCTCAATTGAAATTGCTTCTTCAGAGCAGAGAGATTTGTAGATGGGGCAGCACTGGTTTGCATTTTGGGTGCTTTAAGATGTAAAGGCAGCCTCTCATGATGTTTAAGCAGCATTAAAAAAAATCCTAGCATATCTGCTATAGCAGGCTGCTCTGTGCTATAAAGGAAACTGTGTTAATCTTGTCTTGCTCTTTATATAAAGACTACATTGGGGTTTGAAGATAAATAGTCATCGTTTCTACAATTCCAGCACCAAAAAGTCCAGAATGTGTTTCCTTAACTGCTTAAAGTAACTTATCCTTGTTTATAATACATTAACTCATCTAAAGGGAATTACATAATCTGCAAATTAGAGTGCATTTCATATCCTTTTGACTTCCTTCTCCCTTTACATCTTCCTTAAACAGAAATTAAATTTAAGCCCTTTCAAACAGAAATATTAACCAGGAAGAGACACAGAGAATGATGTGGGTGCCCAGGTATTAACACCAGACCAGCATTACCAGCACAGTAGTTTAGTGGTCACATTACAAAGCTCCCACTAGTTATTCAGACCAGCAGTGTAACTTGGGGTGGGAAAGCAGGGCACCAGCCCCAAGTACCAGTGTAGAGGGGGTGTGGGTACTGCAACAGCAGCAGTTCTATGCTGTGGTTATGACAGCAGCAAGTGGGAGCAGGGAGTTCATGCTGCTGCCATAGCACTAGCAGTAACAACTGAGGCCAGGCCAACCATTCTACAGCTCCAGCCAGGCCCAGGAGTTGGTCCTGAGCTTCCATACTCCTTCTGCCACTGCTGCCAGCCTGGGCCCACAGCACACTTAATGCTCCAGTCTGGAGCAGGGCCAAAGCCATAGCAAATGTAAGAGGCAGAGGGGCTGGGGAGGACACAGGCCTTGGGGAGGAGGCGGGGGGCTCAGAGTAGGGTGACCACCTTTTCCAAATGGAAGGGCAGGATACATGCCCACGTCTCCTCCCCACCCTCTGCCAGCAGCATGGCCAGAGTTGCACTGAGCTGAGCCGAGCAGAGGTGGATGCGGACTGTCTGCAGTGGGCTTTGGGTGCCCTGCAATGCTAACTTTCCCACAGGAGCCTTGCACCATCTGTGCACCCCCTGCCTGGCTGGCAGCAGTGAGGGGCAGAACTCAACAC